TGTTTCTCTGCTATTCATAAGGTTTTCCCTGGTCAATTCTTTGAGAAGTGGATGGCCTCCTCCTTCTTCCTAGTCTGTCTCAGTCTGCAAGCCGGGCTGATACCTGTGCATCATGTGCACCCCTCTGGGCTTGAAACACCAGTGGCACAGCCTCAAGACTCACAACAACATGTCACCACAGTAGGACAAACTGACAGACAAGTTTGTCTGCCTTAGCTGTTGGAAACCTCTCCAACCACCCTCAGCTGATCCCTGAGGCTGACTACTCGCTCTATCCCGGTACCCCTGGCCTTTCCTCCCCTTTCTCCCACTTTCCTGCCTTGCCACTTGTGGGGGCATGGCCTGGGTTCCTTCTCCTCACCTGGATCCCTGCAGCTGACTCCTCGCTCTGTCCCAGTCTCCCTGGCCTTTTACTCTTCTTTTTTCCCACTTTCCCGCCTTGCCGCTTTGGGGCGTGGCCTGGGTTCCCTCTCCTCACCTGGATCCCTGTGGCTGACTCCTCCCTGTTGTACACAGGGCAGCTATAAGCAGGAGCCGACTCAATGGTACCTAACAACAACAAATGATTCAGAATTGACTCTATAGCACACAACACCAACACAACAGTGCTTTGGCAAAGTAAACTGGCATGGCATTTGAAAAACAATTTGTCACTTTCCAGTTAAACTGATATGATATCCCTTTCTTCTATGATCTAGCAGTTCTACTTCTAAGCCTATAGAGTAAAAAGTCATGTGCATTTGCACAGAGATTACATGGACAGTACTTTCCATGGCAGCAAGAGTCATTCTATCTCCCAAAGAAATGGACTCATGTTATCTCATGTAATAGAATGGATGGTAAATTGTGATAGATGCACACAGAAAAATACTAATATGTAACAATGGAAAGGAAGGAACCACAAATTCCCACAAGAGATCTTAAAAGAACACAATGCTCCAGACAATGTTCTTTGCTAGTTGAGGTAAACTAGTGCTTGGTTTTCATAATAAAAAATTTTAAAGGAGACAATGGGTGATAAGAGTGGAGGTAGCAGGTATACACACTCTTTCAAAGAGTTTCATTACAGAGCAGAGGTAAGAAATTGGATTGTTTCTGGAGAGGGACAGGAGGTGAAAGGAATGGTTTTGGAAAGGTCAGATAACATATGAGGTGGCTTTAATGAAGAAATTTAAGGCATTTAAGATGTAAAAATGAGGATAGGTAGGAGTGAAGCTATGAGAAATTGAAAGGGAAGAGATCCCAAAGTAAGTAAAGGAAGTGGCCATAGATAGGAAAGAGGATATCCACCCACTATGTTATTGTTAGTTGCTGACTCATGGTGACCACACGTGCAGAGTAGAACTGCTCCACAGAGTTTTCAAGGCTGTAACTTTCAGAACAAGACAAGGCCTAGTTCCAGGATGTCTCTAGGTGGGATTCAATAAATTTTTAGGCTAGTTGTCAAGTGCTTAAACGTCTGCACCATCCAGGGGCTCCTTCATCCCCTATAAGAAGGAAATAGAGATAGAAATGGATTCATCCAGGGGCTGCATGTGGGACTTCTCCTTTAATTGATTCTATTTTCCACAGCAAAATATGAGGCAGGAAGAAATCAGGAGAAGGTACTGACCAGTGAAAGTATTAATAAGTCAACTGTAGGATCATAACTGTGGGATTAATCAGCAGTTTTTATGAAAATATTCTTAGTTGTTTGAGGAAGGCATGACACAATAACAAACAATTAACATGCAGCAAATGTGGCAATGATCAGCATCTATACCCACAAGTCATTTAATCATTCAGTGAATAATTTTTCTTCATCTACAAAAGGACAAGCACTCTTCTAGGGCTGGGGATGTACAGATGAAGAAAGAAAAGTAGCCACTAAAACCACAGAGGTTATATTCTAACATGTTATATGTCTAACAAGGTAGACATTTAGGATATTTGGTTTTCAACAGACATAATTTT